AACTTGCCTACTCCCTTCCAAGTGCTGGAGCTGGGCTTTGACCCCAGGTGTGTCCCATTCCACAATTGTAGCTTCAGTTTCTATACAGGATACTACTTTAACCCTACCTTTAGCAGTGGCTCTCAACCTTGGCTGCACATTAGAATCACCTGGGCATCTTTTTAAAATCCTGATTTCTGGGCCTCATCCTCCAGAAATTCTGTTTCTTTGTTACTAATGTTGTGGCCCCACCCCATAACAAAGAAACAGAATTTCCGGAGGATGAGGCCCAGAAATCAGGATTTAAAAAAGATTCCCAGGCGATTCTAATGTGCAGCCAAGGTTGAGAACCACTGCTTTACAGTGACGTATGGATCTCTTGCAACACATGAATATAACCGTCTCCACGGACATCAGAGCCAAGTGATATGCCTCTGTGATTTACTATATAAAATGTATTTTCAAAAACATATAGTAAATAACCATTCTTTGACAATTTAATACAGTTACTTCTTCCCAAAAATATAAAGTAAATGCCACAGTGGGGAACTTGAATATAAAACAACTCTCAGCCCTTCTGAACGATAAATTCGCTTGTTAACTAGATTCATTCCAACAACGAGAAAGACTCCCCCAGGAGTCTTTCTCTGAACGGCACGCTGATGAAGGACAGCAGAACTGAGGGTTTTCAAGGCGTCCTGGCCCCCCTTGGGGTTTCATCACCGCAGGGATGAGCACCGCGCTCCCCGCACAGGGAAGGCACCTGCCAATGGTCAGGATGTGTCAAAGGGTCACTCCTGCCTGGGGCTGCCAGGTTCAAAACAGGACGCCCAGTTAAGTTTCCTACAAATAACGCTGTTTTATATTTTAATTTTATTTTATATTGGGGACATATTTATGCTCAAAGATTATTTGTTGTTCATCTGAAATGGAAATATAAAGAGCATCCCGTATTTTTATTGCTAAAGTTGGCAACCGACCCCTGGCGAGGTGCGCATAAAAGATGGCAGGCCCGGCCCTATGCCCCCCACCGCGTAAGTGGGGAAACTGAGCCCAACGGCACGCGGAAGGGAGCGGTGGGAAGGGGAAGAAAGGGAAGGGCTGGTGGTAGGAGGGCTCCCTACGCAGGTGGAATTGGAAGCAGACTTCCCTGACTTGCAGATTCTTTCCTCTCGTCCTCCCCGTCTCTCACCCTCGGGTACCCGCGCATCTCTCATTGCGCAAGGGGCCAAACAGCACAGGCTCCGCCCCTGGGCAGGAACCCTACCTCCCCGCACCTCCCCCCCCACACACACACACCCGTTACCTCGGGCTCGGGACACGCTGCCGCCGGTCCGCTCAGGCGCCACCAGCAGCACCGACGTCACAGAGGTGGCCGCCATGCCCCTGGATCCCAGCCGCTGGTAGACGTGCAGCTCAGACGTCCTCCCGAGTCGTCCCTCCATCCCGCACAGAAGTCTCTTGTCCTCCTCTGGCCACCGTCCAGGTCTGGGCCGAGAAGCTGGCCAATCCGAGCGAGGCATTCGAGAGGGCGCGTCGCCGTTCACACCAATCAAAGGACCGAGCAGGTTCTGTGGCGCTCGGCCAATCGGACCGCGCGCCCGTCGCGTGTGGTCCCGCCTCCTCAGCTGATCCTGCTGCGAAGGGTTTGCTCCGTCCTCAGCCCCCTGAGCAGCCGGGATGATGCCCGTCCGTCCTCCTGCGGCCCCGGGGGTTCTCTCCCTCTTTTTCTCCCTCTCTCTCTCTCTCTCCCTCTCGCTCCCTCGCTCCGACGCTCCCTCGCTTTCTCTCTCTCTCCCTCTCGGGCGAGGAACCCCCATGGCCTTTCATCTTTAGAGCCGCTAAGGGCAGAGGGTAGCTGTCATAGGATATAAAAGAGTGTGGGATAAGAATACAAACTTTTGGGTTTTCAAGAATGTGAAAAACATGTTTTTAAAAATTCTCTTCTTAATCATCTCAAATTTTACAGAATTTTACAGAATTTTAAGACAATTTTTCTATAATGCTATTTTTAAAAATGAGATATAATTGGTATATAATATTGTGTAAGTTTAAGGTGTATGTATACAATGGATTTATTTGATACATTTATATATTGCAGTAAGATTATCACCACAGCCATAGCTAACACCTCTATCATGTCACAGACTTATTCTTTTTTTGTGGTAAGAATATTCAAGATCTAATCTCTTAGCAACTTTGAAGTATATAATAACAGTGTTGTTGACTATAATCACTATGCAGTGCATTAGATCACCAGAACTTATTCAACTTCTAGTTGCAAGTTTGTGGACTTTTTTTTTAAACCTTTATTGTAGAAAGTATTACATATTGGACTTTATTTTTTTTAATAGCAGTTTAAGGTTCACAGCAAAATTGACCATAGATACAGAGATTTCCCATATAGTACTGGCCATCACACATGCATAGCCTCCCCCATTACCAACATCCCCCACCAGGGTTATGATTAATGAACCCACATTGACACATTATAATCACTGCAAGCT